TCATTTTCCTCACCCCTTTTGCCCACAGTCCCTGGAATGTGGCTTCAGAAGGTGAGGGGTCCTACCTTCTGGGGTGTGATGTGGGGGAGGAAGAAGCTGGAACGCTGGGATGGCAGCCGAGGAGGGTGGGAGGAAGGGCTGCAAAGAACATCCATGCCTCTGCCACTCATGGCAGAACCAGATTAAATTAACACCTGCGATCCTCCGAGCTGATTTTATTTTAGATGGTTTATTATCAGGTATTTAGTTTGTGCTTTCTCCATTTGCCCGTAATGAGCGTAGGTGGGCATTCGAACCGGTGTGTGCGCTGGAGAGGGGGTCTCTTTTGTGGGGAAGAAGTCGAGGCAGAATCCACCCACAGACTCTATTACATGATTCAAATGTCAATACAAATTTTAATTGGTTTCAGTGTCCCCTCCTTTCCCCCAGCACCGGCAGCTGCATTTGGTAATTAAGACTCCACAAATAGATTTCTCGGCAGCAGAAAAAGGAAGATGGGCAAATCTTGCCCGGCTGATGGGTTTTTTTCCCCCTTTTGTGTGTCTTGTCTTCATGTCACAAGACTCTCATTTTGCAGAGGCAAGTCTTCAGGCATTCTAACATGGGTCTAAGACACGTATAAAACTAGGTACTGGGGATACGCAAAGCTCTGAACATCCCAAATTGAATTCAGGTTCTGTCCCTCTGTACAACCTTGTATCCAAGACCCAAACTGTTTTTTTGCTGTTCTCATTGGAAATCCACTTCTTCCCTTTATTTCTTTCGCAAGTTCTCTGACCAGATTTCATGGCAGGCTTTTTGGGACTGGTTTCCCTCTTCTTCCCGTTGCCACTGTCAGTCACTTAAAATTCTGCTCTTCTTTTCAGCTTGTGCAAAGGACGAACCCTCTACTCTGTGGTGAGAGATGTCAAAATTGTCCTGGATGTCAACAAAACACGACAGATTGCTCAAGAGATTGTCAAGGTATGAGAGGAGAGGAGGAGGGCTTGCTCCGAGCATGTCCTGGGCACTCTTGAGTGGGTAATTTGATGCCAGGAGTAGAAATCACCATTACAATCCAAAAATCCTGAAGCTAGTAAAGAAACATTTAAAGCCACTGAAACAATGAAACTAGCGTAAAATCATCCATATGGAAACCCAAAGACAGATGGGTGTTTTAAAGGTCTTTATAAAGGCCACCACAGATGTGAGTCCTCTTTATCTCAGTGGCCAGCTGGGGAAAGTTGTTCTCTTCCATGATTCTGTTATCTCTGGGGAGCTGAGTGACAAGCATTTCTGGGAAAGTTCACAGAAAGAAGGTTCCCACCATATGAAGCATGGAAGTGCTGTCAGCCAGCTTCCTTCTAACTCCTTTGCATCACTTTGTCACCTCGATCATTTCTCTCTATCCTGTTCTAGCCTACGCCAAGCTTATTACTATTTCATGGGCTTCCATTATTTTTTCCCCCTTCTCTCCCTTCTCTGGCTATTGAACAGACATGAATTTCTGACACTCTCCATGTCCCCTTCCCTACAATAAACAAAATATTCTTTCTTCCACCAATCATTTGAAAGCAATGTATGGGTTCCTTGCAGTTTTTTGCTGACTATCTAGGTACCATAACGTGCTCTTCACTGTGACCATGATTTCGTTTGAGAAGTAGCTGTTGAATAATTCTAATTAGCCACAATGGAGGGGTAGTGTGGCCTCCTAAGGGATTGTATAGTTCTGACTTTAAACCCTTCAGGCACAGCCCTAATAGAACACTCATATTTATCCTGCATTCACATGATTAATGAAATCAGTTACAAAGCCAGCAGCTATATTCATACAATACGTTAAGTTTGGTTAGTTGTGATCTTGATTAGGGTGAAGGGTTTTTTTGTTTTGTTTTTTGGTAGTTCAAGTGTTTTATGCAAGCTACAGCACGTTTGGCTTATGGTTGTACAGTAACCAGGTTAATGTGTTGTGGAAACCTGTGAATGTAAGGTCCCAAGTTTATTCTCTGGTATCTTTAGGTAAAACAGTCTGGGAACATTCAAAGCTCAGTGTTATGCTAGGGTTGGAACCACATCTGTCCATGGAAATATTAGAGTCCTCTGGATAGGATTTCAGTCAGGACAACTTCCAGCCAGAAGGCTGTAACCTGCATCCTGTGATCATGGTGGCCCTCCAGATGTTGCTGAACTACAAGCCCCATCCCCCTTCATTATTCACCATGCTGCTTGGGGCTGCTTGGAGTGGTAGTTCAGAAGAAGGTAGACCTAGAAGGTCTTAGGTCCCTTATCTTTGTTATACAGTCTTTCCCCAGGGATGTTGGAGAAGGTTTAGCTCAGTGATAGAGCAATGTCTTGATGCAGGTGTAAGTTCAATACATACAATCTCCACATCAAAAAGGAGCAAGTAATAGGAGAAGCAGTATTGGGTTAGATAATCCAATAATCAAATCTGGCTTTTAAAAGTTTCATTTATATCTCCTCACTCCTTCATTGTATTTTTTTATTCTCTCCCCTATTCTCTTGCATTCTTGTTATTACTGCACTCATTCTGGCTTGTGCATTAATGTAGCCTGCAGGCCAGAGATGTCAAATCATCACCTTTGAAATCTAAGATTGTTATCACATCCTGAAATGCAGGGTTGGTAACTTTGAAATACAGGGATGTGCTTGATTGTTAATGTGCAGTTTTGACAGTGTGAACATTCATCTCCCTAAAGCGGAAGTTCTAAATGTACAGATAATAAACATCCTTGAGAAAATCACCATTTTCAAAGGTTTATTAAATGGGGAAAAGATTTCATCAAAATGTTACAAAGGTTATCATTCTACTGAAAGCATTACACTCTAAGGATAAAAGGTTGCATTCATTGTGTACAGGGTATACCTATGTTAATTCTATTTTATGTTGCCAGATTTCTCCTGAGGTCATAAATCAGCTGTGGGCATACCAGAACTAAAAACAGAGCAGGGGTGATCTGTTCATATACCCCCACTGAAAATCCTTCTGTGGATGCATGTATACATACTCCATTGATCTACATCCATAGACCATAACTAATATTAATCCAGCCATCCCTCTATTCCTTCATTCTTTGAGTTGATCAACATCCATGCATCTGTTGTATAGACCTCCATCCTTCCCATTTGCCTTCCTCCCCATTCATCACCTCTTCATCTCCTTCTTTGTATTCAACCTCCTCTTCCTCCAATTCACAAACATATATCTGTTCAGTCACCTCTCCATTAACTCACAACTAGATCATCTTTATTACAATCACTGAGCAGTGAGTGTAGTCAACATCATAAAAAGATTTTTTTAAAACACAGGGAGCCATGACATAGGAAAGAAAGCATAGATATTATCTAGAAAGGACAATAAAAATGTCTTAAGGTCTGAAACATTTTTAAGATACCAACAGGAGTGCATATGGTATTTACTACACTAAGTATGGATAGCAGGATATTAAAAGTAGGACCTAAGTGCTAAAAACAGGAATAAAAATACTTTAAGGGTAAAATACTAGAATTTTATCCGCTGAGTATTATACTATAGAGTCAATATGGGACTTGAGTTTCTGTATATGTATGTGTGTATAACTAAAATCTTGGTCAAGGACAAATATGACAGAAGATAAGGCCTAGATCCAATGTAAGAAACAGAAGAACAAAGTAAAAGTGTACATTAATAAAATCAGAAAATTAAGAAAATAGTTTCCTCCATAGGACAACAGCAGCCGAGCGAAATTTTGTGACTCTCTTGGTATTCTGGTCTGATAGCAAGGTACAAATAAGATTGTCCTCCAGGCAGAAGGGACTTCTGTTGGCAGGTGAAAGTATGAGGGTGGACTGTATGTTACTCTAGAGAGGGCATCAAAGGAGCAAGTGGGCTAAGGTTCTTCCAGAGCACAGAGACAAATCTGAATTGTAAAAGGAATCTTATTATATCTTTCTTCCAACAAAGCAGAGAGCAAGACATTAAGGCTGGCTACAGCTGTGCAGTGTGATGGGCAGGTGATGTTAAATAGTCCCCGGGTTAAGAACACCCAGTTTAAGGATGACCCATAGTTAAGAATGGAGCTCATTGTAGCAAAATTCGAGTTAAATACACAATGCTTCAGGTTCATTACACAATACTACTTATACAGTATTGTACAATAATACTGTTCCGGCTTACATACACCTTTGACTTAAGGACAGACCTTGGGAATGGAACTTGTTCTTAAACTGGGGACTCCCTGTAGTTTGCTGGCACGAAAGGTCTCCTGTTTATATACTGCCAGATATGGTGGCCTAATACGCTCTGCTCTACCTGATGCTGTATGACAACTCTCATTTCTGGAAGCTCCAGGGCTAGGAGGCTGTTACCTGAGAAACCACAGGGATGTAAGTCACTTTGGAGCCTAGCTTTCCAAGAAGAGGGGAAATTATCAGAAAGAATCATGGCAGCCAGAGAATTCCTGGAAAAGTGAAGCTGAAGTCAAAAATGCATACACGGGCCCTAAAATCCAAGGAATCTACTGCGTTTCTGAGTGCTGCATTTAGAATGCAGCAGGGCCCTCCAAGCAGCACTCTTAAAAATTTGGACTGTATTGTATCTAGGAACTTTCAGGTTATTGTATGTACATACCTGTGAGCCATACAACTTTTGGGAGATATTGCTTTGCAAAGTCTTATAGCAGTGGGTACATTCTTATTTTCTCTGGTATAAAAGAAGCCAAATATAGCCTCTGATCTTATTATCAGAGAGAGATTTAATTTGTTCCCACCAGACGCCCAATTGTTGGAATACTATGCTGAGATATTCAAAAGATGGAACTTGGTCTACAGTAATATTATTTATCTGCCGACAATGTTTACAATGTCTCCATCCCTTTGAAAAGACCATCACTTTAGTTTTGGAGTAGTTAATGCACAACTAGAGAATTTAGCTCCCATATCCCATCTCCTCTGGCCCACTGGACAGCTGCTGAAGTGCTGGGAGCAGTGATAGGGTGGGAGGTGGGAACATTCCTGGTTCTGGACCAGTGAGAAAAACAGAGCTTCACGGATATGCCTGTGGATCATTCGGCATCTTGCTTCTAGACTGAGTGCAGTCATGTGGAACTATATCCTAACCTAAGGGTAGAGGGGGGGTGAAGTTTTTTTTTTAACCCCTGTGATCCAGAAGGGTACACCAGCAAGTAATTGTGGGCAGGGTGTGTGTGTCCCAAATGAAATGGACATTTGTTCCAGTTCTACTTTTTCGCCCGCCAAACGGCCCGTGAATTCTTAAGGCACAGTGACAAACCATCTGCAGTTACGAGAGGCTGCTCCAAAGAGATCCCACATCAGAAATAGTCCATGTATGCCACCATTGGAAAATTCAGATTGCAGCTAGAAATAGTGGTGAGATTCTCTGGCACCCCAAACCTTGCCCTAAGATTAGGCCTGGAAGGTTATTCCCTGGGATGAGTCCTGCGAATCGTGTCTCTATTTATTGTAGAGCCAGGCTCCCTGACCTTCTGTCCTAAACTTGGTTGTTACCAAAGGGGCAACTCTGGCCATGGGGTAGCATCTGTTTGAATGTTCATATAAACCCCTTGATGAATGCTTGGGGCAGAGACAAAACTGTGCAGTTTAGCCAAGAAGCCAATGAAATGAATCACATTCTCTCTAGACATATCTTTCTTCCAAGAGACCAAAGCCAACAGGGCTAAGATGGCAGGTTTTGTGAGTAGTGACTAGAGCTTTTTATAGAGGAGAAAGGTGAATGACAAATTGCCCTGTCTCCACATCCATTATGTTTCTAGACCATTAACACCAATGTTGCAAGCAAGCTGTGGGTGGATGTCTCGAGATTACAGTGGGGGCAGGTGGGTGGGGAGTGATCCATCTTAGCATCCTGGGCACTGGAGGCTTTCCTGGGTGATGAGATTTCAGCTCACCAAACTCCAAGAAATCTTCATAATCTTCACCTGTCACTGCCACCACCTCCTCTTTTTTTCAAGAGGAGTGCTTGCTGGTAGCCTCTTGATGTGTTATTGTTATCCTTTTATAACTATCTGAGGGAAGCGAGTCCTGCTAGGGGCTCAGCTATGTTCCGCCATTCCACTGAACAGAGATGATGTGGCTGTTTGAATGCAGAAGTTCAGGTATTGCTGCTTCAGGAGAAGACTCCTGTCTGAAACCAAGAGGGGACTGCTGTCCATTAGCGTAGGTCAAGGTCACACAATGTCTTTCAGACTCTGAGGAGGGTTTGGCTTTGGAGGGCTGGGAACAGCAATCCCAAAAGGCGGGGGGGGGGGGCATTTTCAGTGCATTTCGATGAAATGTGAATTGCATAAAAACGCAACAGATAATAGGACTTTTCCACATCAATTTAGCCACTTCCTCCCTTTTGTTTTGTTAACAATCATAGCGTGGTAGCAACTTCAGCAAGAGTTCTGGGACGTCCTCCTAAGGTCTGTCAGGGCTGCATTTAGGTGGAACATCCATGGCTAAACTAGAGTCATGATCAAATCCAGGAGAAGGGATCTTCCTATGTTCTGCTTGATGTGTGGGTCTGAGGGGGGCAGATCTGATGAAAAGTCAAAAGCCAAAAGACTTGCAAAACAGAATTTCCACTGGCTCACCCAATCAAAGAGCAGGATATAAATATGCTAAGTAAATAATGAAGAAATCTTATTAGTAATAGCAGAGCATCCAGGCCACTATGATTCTTAGGGTGAAAAAATGAAGAAATATTGACATGGGGGGAAAAGAATAGGTGATGCAATATTTGAAGAGTTGCCATACAGATGTTGGAAGAACTTTGTTTTCTCTTGCTCAGGGGTTGTACCTAAACCAATGAGTTTGTATTTTAACAATGAGGATTTTGGTGAAGTGTTAGAAAGAGCTCTGAGCAGTTTGACAGTGGATCAGATTGTTTCCGAAGATGGTCAGAACTCTTTTGTTAGATATTTTTAGACCTTTTAACCGATGTTGATCTGGGCTTGGACCTGATAGTTTTTAAGAGACCTTCAGACTTTATAATTGTAAGATACATTATAGATTAGCCCAATCTATAATTTTGAAGTGGCCCCCCAAAAGTGTCTTAGGTTGTTTGGATCTGTGTGCATTATTCTAAAAATTATGTTAAAATTGCATAAAAGTCTCTCTGCAACTGTTCACTCTATTTCCTTATTTTACAGGGAATGGGCTATCTGCACGCAAAGGGAATTCTCCATAAAGATCTCAAATCTAAAAATATATTCTATGACAATGGGAAAGTGGTGATCACAGACTTTGGCCTCTTCAGTATATCTGGAGTTCTGCAAGCAGGCAGGTACGTTGGAGATCGTCACCTTGCTCAGCACCCAACTCTGCACTCCTTTTTTTTTCACCTCTTCATTGGATGTCCTTTTTCCAAGTACAGAATTAGACAATATGAAGTCTTACCGAGGACACTTTGGTTTCCTGTGGAAAGGGAATTTTCATTCAACTTTAGGGGATTTATAGGGGGGAGCAACATTCTGACACACTTTTGTAGGGTGGGGAGAGACTCTTCAAGTATAAGACTTTTTTTCGTTCATTCACTGAATTTGTTCAGTTTTGTTCTTGATTAAAAAAAGTGCTGACAGCATTTACTTACATGACATAATGCTCCTGAGAAGCTTTATGTGATGAAACTCATAATGAATTTTGCGAAGGCGTTGATCCCCACTATTCAGCGATTCTATGGATTTTAAAGCAAAGACGGAAAATAAAACCCATTTCATTTTCAATGAACACGCACTTAGACAGACAGACAGATGTCCTTGGAATATTTTATGTACAAGTATTACATATAAAATCAAGCTTGGCATTATAGTTCTTTCCCCTAAAAGGTTCAGCTCTGTTCAAAACAATGCACAAGAATTGCATGAACAGTTTTTAGTTTCCCCCCTCTCTCTTCCTGCATTTTAACTGGTCAGTAGCACTGAAGAATATAATCAAAACTGTAAAGCCAGTGAAGGAAGAAGACGCTTAACCCTTTCCTCTTCTGAAAATGCCCCTACTCCAAGTAGTTCCTCTTGCAGCAGAGGGAGCTAAAAGATTACTGCCTGTTATTAGTATTTTCTAGTGGGGAGAAAAGCGACTCGAGAGAAATATGACTGTGATAGTAGGACTCAAAATGCCCAAACATTCCACTGCTGGCATATATTATTATTGCAATTTATTATTTATTTCTTAGACTTATATCTCACCTTTTCTCCAAGGCCTCAAGGGGGCATACATAGTACACCTTCCTTCAATCTTGTTTCTAATAACAGCATTCCTGAAATATGGTTACTGGTGCAAAGTCACTCCGTAAGCATCCTTGGCTGAACGTACTGTAGATCTGAACCTGTTCTTTTTTCCCAACCCATCTTATCTTTCCCACAATCCTGTGAGACAGGGTGAAGGATGGGATTGTTTCAAGCAAAGGTGCCATCAGCCCTTCATGGCAGACCAGACCAGGAAACCAAAGTAATGTAGGCCAATGCTACCTTTACTGTAAAGATATAGTAACAGAACCTTGCAAGCCTGAATGAGCTTCCCCTCCCTATCCCTTTATCTTTGTGAGAACTAGGGAGGGTCTTCTCTGAGTTGCTTTCTCAGGTTACTTTCCTGCCCCAGACTCTGGTTTCTTTTATCTGACTGTTGTCTTGGTAGCAGCTCTTTCTCCTGTCCCTCAAGGCCATTCCCTCTTTCCTCTCCAGGCGCCCAAAGAGCATTGGGTCCAAGCAGGAATTCTGAACCCAGATCTCCATGTTTCACTGCTTAATCTGTGTGACAGCCCATTGGAAATTATGCCTTATATTTAGTCAAATCATTTTTGTGCAAAGTGATCCAAAAGGGATCTCTTCTAGCCTGAAAATTTTAGGACATGAACTGAGCCAGCCAGATCAAGGCTCTTTCCATGCAGGATCCACTTTCTCCTAGCCTCCTATGTCCATCCTTTCTCCCTAGAAGCTCTGCTCATTTGTTTCAAGAATGTTTCTAGGCAAATTTCACTGCCTGTGGTCTCTGATTTAGATGTAACGTCGTACTTTCAGGTTCTTTCCCAAATTAAAAAAAAAAAGAAAAGAAAGAAAAGGAACAGAATTAAACCCCAGCTATTGTGCAGATCTTCCTTGCAGTTAATTATTGCTTTATTGCAAAGCCGCCTGTGAGATAAATCACGCATTTTAATCTTTCTGTAATTATGGTGTGTCAAAGGCACTGGATTAAAGAAAGAGATAATGGCCTGCTTATTTCTCTCTCTTTCTCTCTGTC